ATTTTCCCCCCCCCCCCCCCAATCCTATATGGTCCTGACCCTGCTGGATTTTAGAAAAGAACATAACACCTGGTTCTTCCCAGAAGCGCTGGGTTAGGATGATGTGTAGTCCTGCTAATCACCATGTAAGGGTGATACAAGTATTCACTGCTGTATATTTAACATTGTTTTTCTTCCCTAGCACAGTCATCTTTTATTGCTGTGGTCTTTTTTAGTTACCTTTTAAACTTCTTTAAGCCACCCAGAGTTGCAGGAAAGCAGGCGGCCTTATATATTGATTGATTAATTAAATAAAATTAATTAATACACATAAAATGGCCCAGAGACTTTATCATTGCCGTGGTACAATTACTGATGAATAACTTATAATTGGTAAGAATTTAGATAGTAAATGTTAAACAGAAGTTGTCTTGTGGACTGTATCGCTTTAATCAGTGACACATACTTTTTAATCAGTAAATTAGTATGCAGTTTTAATATTTGAAACAGCTACATTCTTAAGTAAGGAAGATAAGCATTTTGTGATCAGAATTCTCAGATGACCAATGCCTGAGATAGATGTAATTTTCAAGGAACTCAACAGCTTTTCATAGGTCTAATTCACATGTAATACTAAGCCATAATATGGTTTGTTTAGTTCGTTCTGCATGATAGTGAACCTATTCATTATGTCTTAATGTTACCTGTGCACCAGACCATTGTACCTTGTTCAGTAAAACAAGTGGAAATAGAGGTTACAAGTAGAAAAGCTTTAATCAATTTAATATGCTTGACTATAGAGAACAGAAAACAAAATGATAATTAAAACCATCCATAGTATTTGAGGTAAATTCTTGAAATAAGGAATATTTTTAAACTTTGAACAATACTGAAATTCAATTCTTATTTTTAAAAGCTGTGTGTTTACAATGTGCACTGAAGTTAAAGTTTAGTTTTCATAATCATTCACATCAAATAATTAAATTTCCATGAAAGATTTAAGGCAGCTTTTTAAAACATTTGTATATATTCCATATTTGTATAAATTATTTGATCTCACTGCAGACATAGTTCCTTAACTGAAAACTTGAGTAGCATATTAATCAGAAAGGTTGTGCAGAGCTTCAGAAGAGGTGCTTAATTGTCCAAGCCAAAACCTCATTTGCTGTCATGAATAACATCCTCTCTTCTTTTGGTGGTAGTCTGATGAGGGGAATGATTCAGAAAGCACTTGTTACTCTCTTCAGATTGTGTTCTCATAGAGCATTCTAGAAACATGCATGCTGCTCCAGAGGCAGTTGATCCACTGCCTTAACTTCTATGAATAAAGCATTTTCTTCTTTGTAGTCTAGGTTTGTTTTAGATTAGCATAGGCTGTTTCATGTTTGTTACTTACATAATCTCACATAGGAAGATTGAGCTGAGAAAGCGGCATTGGACCAAAATCACCCAGAGAGCTTCCATGGGTAGATGGAGAATATTTTCCATATATAGGAGCCATTATTCCTTGTAATCATTTTGTTAAAGAACTGAACAATACTTATGTAAAAACATCAGATTATTAACATTTTTATCGTTTTTTAATATTTAAATTATAAGCTGTTTATACAGAATGAAAGCAAATAAAATAATTCAGATTTTTAAAACTCTTTAAAGCAATGTGTCGCTTGTTTTGCAAGCATATTCAGGACAGTTTTCATGGGTGTACATGCACAGCTTCTTTCCTCAGTAAAATCTGATATGACCATCCTGCACAGATATATGTGCTTTTGTGTGCTTATGCCATATCTAGTTTAGTGCCAAGGCAAATTGAAGATATGTAAATGTTTTAAATCAAACCAAATTCAGTGGGCTGCTCTGAGCATTCTAAAATGGTTCAAGCTCAAAACAAAGTATTTTGTGCTTGGAACAAAGCTGTTTTAACTTCAGAGCACTTCCAAAATGCTGGAAATAGCTTGTTTTACAGTCAGAGTTTAAAATGGCTTGATTCAAAACATTGTGCATCACAAGTCTGAAGAGTGAACATCTTTTGTTGAAGACAAATTTCATACATGTTTCATTCAAATTTTAATATGTTGAAGGCTGAGATTAAAATGTGTATGTAGAAGGTGGTTTCAACTGAAAGTCTTTTATGAAAGGTATACTGACAATAGCTCAGAGATAAAATAGATTATAAGAGGAAAATAATTAGAATAATTTAAAACTATCATCAATTAATTTTGTATGTTGCAATGATGATCATCTCAGTTTGCATACTTGTGATAACACTGCTGATTAAATGTGGGTGTGTTACCTAAACTGACCAACCTGTGTAGAGTTTTTCTTCCTTGTGTTACTTCAGCAAAAAGATAAGGCATGAAGAACTCTCCTTTATATTTGACACATCACGCTCAAGGCTAAGATGCACTGCACCTCTGTAGAATTTTCTATTATATTGAAGATTCTTATAATCCTAAGCATGATAGCATTATTGACAATGATGGGGAAAAATTAGAGTCTCTGCTATATAAGAACCAGAGTTTAACTTTGGTTATCTGTTATTTCTCTCATTACTAGCTTATTAAAGAAATTGTAGGGTAGTGAGTGATCTGTGGCACCAAGGAGTGTCCACAGTGATAACAATTTTACTAAAGTTTTGCTAATTAAAATGAAAACATTAAAAAGCTAGCTATTAAGCATGAAAATGAGTGCACTGTACAAGTAGGCTCCAATCAGAACAAAAGTTCTAAAACCCATGCTGGCTTTCCAATCTCCTATTTTACTACCACCTGAAAAATACAGAATTTTGTATTAAGTCTGAAGTTTAACGTATGTTTAATGTTTTCTGAGAAGTAATTACCTGTACCTCACAATTTTTAAACATATGAAGCTAATTTAGAACTAAGAAACCTTTGGTGTCTGAAGTTTTTTGCCCCTCGTATAAACATAATTATAGTTTCTAGAAACAGAAAATGTAAAGCCTCTGCTAGAATTGAGCTATGTTTCATTTATTAAATATATTTCTATCCCACTGCATAGGGATTACATAGAATAAATAATACGATTTAAAACATCCACAGTACAGTCTTAAAAGTTAGGTTTTGCTTTATACAGTGAACACTTTTTATGTTTTTGTCCCTGCTAGTCATACTTTGGATATATATTCTGCAATTATGAAGTAAGAATTTTGAGGCACTGGAAAATAGAGAAGTAGCAGATACGTAGGCTGAAGGAGAAAGCTGTACTCTCCATAGCAGTGTTTCTCAACCTTGGCAACTTGAAAATGTCTGGACTTCAACTCAGAATTCCTCAGCCAGCATGCTGGCTGGGGAATTCTGGGAGTTGAAGTCTACACATCTTCAAGCTGTCGAGGTTGAGAAACACTGTTCCATAGTAATAAAGCATGCTGAAGCATTCTGCCTTTTGGGCACTTGCAGAGGTTTGTACTATGAATTTGTAGCTTTTTTGTTCCAAAATCCTCTTATGAAATACAAGCTGTTTTTAAAATTTACCTTTATTTCAAGTTCTTTAGGAATCACATAAGCTATATCTAGTGAGTCTCTTAGTCCAACTTGTGGTTTTGAAAAAGCCTTCGCGTCAAACTTGATTCCCATATGGATACAACCATGCAATTTCTTTGGCAGTATTAGGGAAGTGCTTTGCCTGTGCCTTCTTTCGGATTTTTTTTTTAACTTTTTAATCTATTCTAAAGCCCTTGAGCTCCTTGGTGGTCCCTCATCTAAGAGTCAGGCAGCATACAAGTTTAATAAATTGTTGTTGTTATTATCTACCAGGCTTTGGCCTGCTTAGCTTCTAAGAGTTCAAACAGATGCTACCACCTGCTGAGACTAAGAAAGGATACCTTAGTCAGCAGATAAATTGCATAAACAAAATTACATACGACTAGAAATGACGCTAAATTATCACGAGTTTGCTCAAAGAAAATTAGATATTAATCCTTACTTGGCAATTTGCAGTGTGAATTTCTAAATTTTTAAAATTTAAACTTGGTCAATTCCTCAAAAAGCAATGAATTTTACAAATTTGAGTCATCCATGGAGAAAAGGTGTACTTTTCTGTGCAGATTATTGTGTATCTCTGCCTATGTAGATCCAGGGAATTGGAAACAGTTCACCAAATACTGCTATATGGTAACTTCTACATGAATATTCAGAATAGTTCCATCTTACCCATGCTGCATAACTACCAGGAAGAATGGATAATTATTAAGATAACCTTCCTTTCTCAGATATGAAATTACTTATTACTATATGGTAGCTAAACATTATGTTCCTGCAGTGAAAACAAGGCTATAGCTAATGCAAGTCCAAGTACTGGAATTTTTTTTTTCTTTTCAATTATGATGATGTATAATTTGCTGAGAGTTCATCAAAATAAGATTGAGTGTAGAGGTAATAGGAATTTGACTAGATCTCAAATACATTTTGCTTGTATATGTATTAGATGAATGTAAGATTTTCCATGTACAATACTGGTATTTTGTGGTGTGATCTTTGGTAGTGCAGATCCTTAAAACACATATATGCAGAGATGGGGATGCCTGAGTGAACCTAAGTTTGTTGAGAATCAAGCATTCAGAGACTATTATTTTAAAATTTTAAACATATACATTTAAGAGAATAAATTCAAACAAAATTTATATATCCTGAGCTAGGACCAAAATATATATGCAATTGTTGCTGTTGTTTTATGGGGGGGGGGGGAATAATAGTTTTGTTTGTTCCATACAATTTTGGCTTGCATTTCTCAAACAACTTCATTTGCCACATGAAAATCATTTTTGAAACTAAAGATGTTTTCAATAGCAGTTTAATACAACACAGAATCCAATTATTTAAAATGCAAAAATTCTGAGCATTCCTAAAAAAGCTCTTTGTATTGTAGCCAGTACAGTTGTTCTGTTACTTGCATTGCCTGTGCAAGCTATGCCTCCAGATGGAGAAAGGCTAATGTGAAAGCGACTGTGATGTGAAATATGGCATAATTAAATATTTTTTGCTTGGGAGTTAATTTATATTAGATTTCATCCAATCTACACTCCATTATATTACCAAATACGTACATTTTCCTGTGTATGCATTCTACAGTGAAATGAAATTAAGAATGTGGGATTTAATACAAGTATCTAATTATTATCTTGACTAATTTTCTTCCATCATTGTATCCTTAACAAAATTTATATATAGGATTGTATTTTCATTCCATATTCCAAAAGTCGATACCACAAACAGTTATACTGGCATAATAGTTTGTCATACAACATTTAAGCTATTTACTTTGCTTCACTATGTATATTTTTCTCATAAGTGTATTAAGCGCAAATGAGGTTCAGTTTAAATAGATGAATGTTAAGGCTGTATCTAGCCAAATCTGTTTCAGACTTAAACGTTTTTTGCTGGAATCTAAAGTCTAAAAGCCATCATTCCTTGAGATCTGGGATGACAGGAAGGAAATAAATCTCAAAAGCCCTAACATTTTTCTGCACTGGAATATACTGAGATCTACAGATAGGCAAAAGATCTGTAAAGGTAGTCTGGGGTTGTAGCTATGAAGCTTATGTTAATCAAAAAGTGTATGGTGCACCAATCTTCAGTGAGTTACATTATTAGTTCACTTTTATGAGTATTGGTTAGTGCAGAACAAAGTGTTATGTAAGTAATTTGTTTTTGAAACTTGGCATGTATCTGTATTGTGCTGTGTTGTGTATGGAATTAAAAGGTAGTCAATAAGTTTTAGTGCTTGTATTACGAAGTTTAATCTAAAATAATAATAGCTATCTAATGAAGTAAAATGTCCAAAATTCTGTATTTAAAACAAATTGAGTTTGGAAAATCTGCCAGTTTATTCTAGAAACAAGATTTATAATTTATTCTTCAGTCTAAATTCACTTTAAAAGTTGGCATTAGGGAGATTTTCATTAAGATGCAGTGAAACAAAAATTGCAATGAAACTTCTCTATTTTCTATTTTTAGAACTCTCCATAGACAATAAATAGTATAATACAGTCTTTCTTCATTCCTCTGTAAATCAGCATAACCAACTCCGTTCTTATTGACTGGATTTTTTTCCCCCAGGTGGGTTAATTGAGGGAAATTGAATTATTACAATGTAATCATTTATAGTCTAATATATAAATTCTCAATTGAATATCAGTATTATCTAAAAATAGGAACAAGGAACACATTTATTTGACATGGGTATCAGAACTTCTGTTATTATGATGACCGTAATATGGCAATTTGCTGTTCTGGAACAGCAATTCAAATGTTTAATCCTGCATGGTATACAACCAAGCTTTATTTTGGAAGTACAGTTAGTATGAGCTCCCACTAGAGGTGGAGCGCTGAATAAATGTACTATGCTTAAGACCTGTGCATTTTGAGCATTCTTTAGACTAAGGGATGCACATATAAGGTCTACATATTTTGATACAGTATTCTCTCATTTTATATTTTGTTCAGCATTTACAGCCGAACAATACCAGCATCATCAACAGCAACTGGCACTAATGCAGAAACAGCAGCTTGCACAAATTCATCAACAGCAAGCAAATAGTAATTCTTCTGCGAACACTTCACAGGTGAGGGAGTTGCCTGTATTATGATTTATTCCTCATTTTTTCCACCAGGGGCCATCTCTAATTCTCAACTGTTGCCATAGCATCCTGCAACTAACCAACAGGAAAATGGCTTTCGCTTGAATCTCCATCTTAGCCATACTCTAGAGTGTTTAGAAGTGATGCTACAGGTGAGTATAGATGGCACTACTGCTGTCCCCTCCTAACAGAAAAAGAGGTGATTCAGTATTTTAAAGCATTATAAATATGCAGCAGAGTGGAGCAAGGGGAGTCAGGTTGTGTCAACAGCATCACAACTATGAATGCACATCCCAAAGGGACAGAGGTTGTGTTGCAGTGCTGGCGAATTTTGATGGATACCGCTATACCTGCATTCTAAAGAATTCCAAATAACTCATTAATTTATATTGTATATGTTTGCATTCCCTTCTCCCTCAAATAATTATCAGTTCAATCCCTCCATGATGTGAACAACATCATACACTTTAAACTCCAGTGTTCTTAGAAATTAATGCTTTTTATCTCTTGTTAGTAATAAACTTGCTGAGGGATAGAAGAACCAGTTACAATATGTGGCATTTGTCTTACTGAGTTTCTTGATTTATTCAAGTGCTTTAAGAACAGAAGATACAATGTATTAAAATTCCAGTGAAAAGACCCTTCTTTTTAGTCAGAAAATACCAATAATTAATTTTATAGTTATGTATATACTTACTCACTGCTCATAATCATGTATTTGCTTTAAAATAATGAAATGGGATTCTTAAGCAGATCTTTAGTGCATGGCTCCATGGCTGTTCAGTTACTTCTCTCAGGAGTGTGTACTCTTCCCTCCCCTACATGCTGTGGAGTAATTTTAAATAAGAAATAGTCCATACTTGCTATTAACAGAAGCTGGTGACTTTTCTCTATTGTTGGGCTCTGCTTTTGTGAGGCTATTTGACATTTTAATTATCATGGCTTTTGACATCATTATTTCAATTATTTCTAACTGGTTTAATTTTATGTAAACAATTTAGTATTCAGAAGAGAATCAAATTGTAGTTATTACATTATTGTAGTGTGTGGTTATAGCTTGGTGTTATTCTTTCTCTTTAAAAGGGTTTTATTTCCAAGACATTGGATTCTGTCAGTGCTCAGTTTGCTGCTTCAGCCTTGGTTACATCAGAACAGCTCATGGGATTCAAAATGAAGGAAGATGTGGTGCTTGGAATTGGGGTGAATGGCATCCTTCAAGCCTCAGGTAAGACATGGTAAAGATAGTAATGCCAAAATGTGTAATTGTGTGTGTTGTGTGTGAGAGAGAGAGAGAGAGAGAGAGCGTGCGAGCAAATTAAGCCAGTAACCTGCTATTATTGTCATTTGGGATGACATGGGTTTTTTTTTCTTATTTCACAGGAGTATATAAGGGCTTACACTTCAGTAGTACTACGCCTACAGCACTTGTACATACAAGCTCATCAACAGCAGGTTCAGCCTTGTTACAGCCTTCAAATATAACACAGACTTCAAGTTCCCACAGTGCACTGAGTCACCAAGTAACTGCTGCCAATTCTGCAACAACTCAGGTTCTGTTTGGGAACAACATTAGATTAACTGTACCCTCATCTGTTGCCACTGCAAACTCTATTAATACGCTCAATGCAAGGCACATACCTAGGACTCTAAGTGCTGTTCCATCATCTGCCTTAAAGCTGGCTGCAGCAAACTGTCAGGTGCCCAAGGTGCCAGCCTCATCCTCTGTGGACACAGTACCAAGGTAAGTGCTTTTGTTACATTTCGTCACCTTGAATTCCTCTAATTGAAAAAAAAAATTATGGGTGTGTAAGAAAAGTAATCTCAGTAGAAAATCCTTTCAAACTGCTCTAACTTCTGCATTAAGAATATCTTAATGAAAATGGAAGTTCTATAGTTTGAAATATTAAATAAATTTATGGCCAGTTTATATCAAAAGTGGGACAGACTACTTTTGTAAAGCTTGATTTTCCAAAGAAAAGGGGCCTTTTTGGTGCTGCTGTACAGAAAACACCTACCAAAGTCTAATTAACAGTTTCTCTAATTTCCATTACTGTTAGTAAAATTGGAACCTGCTAACCATTTATTGTAAAGGGTTGTAAAGATCACTTTTTATGTTTTCAATCCTATTCTCTGTTTTGTTTTTCATTTTACTACTATTTTTGGTGTAGATTTGGGTACCCTAAGCATGCTGATACCTCCAACTTGGGAATGTGTATACAGTAGTGCTTACAAAATTAAGGTTGATATGTTCAAGCCCAGAAAATAATATTGCATGTAATCTGATTCTCTCCTCTCCTCTCCCCTATCTTTTTTGACTTTCAACATTAATACATTAAAACCAGTGTGGTATAGTCGTTAAATCGTTGGAGTGGCTCCACAGAGAACCATCTGTGATCCATCCTTAGCCATGAAAGTTAGCCACTCTCTCGCAAACCAAACTACATCACAGGGTGGTTGTTTTGTGGAAAAATGAGAAGAGGGAGTGCTTTGGACACCACCTTGAGCTCATGAACAAAAGGCAGGATATAAATCTGACAAATAATTAAATACTAGATAGGAGATTACCTGGAAATTCCAGGGCTATAGACTAGGAACTGAAATGAAAAATCCAAGATGACGACTCCATGGATTTGTCCAAGAAATCATCAGGACTCAGGCTTCACTCAAAGAACGCTACCTTTGTCTTTTCATCAATTCCATTGATATATTCAAACCTCATTATCTCTATTTTCATTATTGCCCCATTTGGGGGTTGGAGGGGATGGTGTTAGATTAATTTACTTCTACCCAATCTTAGCTACATTAAATCTGTGGATAGCATTTATTCTTTCCTTGGAGACATTTAGAAATACAGTACTCTTCTAATGAACTGATTGTCCAGAAAACAAATTGATTTTCTCTATTAAAATACTTCTTTGAGATTGGTAATATCTCAGTTTGAAGTTTAGATGGTGCATTTTTCCACAATGTTTCCATAAGTATGAGACAACACAGATTTGAAAATGGAAAGAAATATATTATTACGCTATACTGAAGTTCTGAAGATGGAAAATAAATACTTTTATCATGCTTTTAAGTGGGGCTTTCCCCCCCCTTATTTACATACTTACCAATGTGTTTATGTTCTCTCTACTTTTATTTCACAGGGAAAACCATGAAACAGAAAAGTCAGCACTGAACAATATAGCAGACAATACAGTAGCAATGGAGGTGACGTAGTTTCTGTAGTAATGAAACTCCAACCTTTGGGAACTTGTTTAGGTGCTATGCATCAGTAGCAATTTGAATGCAAGGGATGATGGAATGCAGCATATTGTATTTCCATGGCAGCTGTGGGGACTTGACAGCAATGCACATCTCTCATGCTTTGGTTTTTCTATTCTTACTGTTAATAGGAAAGAATCAACATCTGTAAATTAAGACTACAGCAATTATCTGTACAGTACTGCGTATTTGTAATACCCTTGTATATATGTTACTTGAATACAGAACCGTTCATTTGTGATGCTTTGCACTTGGGGCGGGGGGGAGGGATAATTGCAACAAAGTAAGAGTGTAAGAAGTGAGATTGTATAGAGATGAAGTGTCATGACATCATGTGCATGGTGCGGAACCTGCTGTTTTATCTATTTATTGTGCCGTGTTTACAGTTTTTTGTACACTGTACCTTCATTGGTTCCTGTGCTGTAGTAAATGTGTTAGGTAGCTGTGGACTCCTTGGTATTTTGTAAATGGTATTAACATAACTTGGTTCCCCCTCTGGGTCCTTGAGTTTTTTGTGTATCATGTGAAAAATGGTGACATACATACAGAACTTTTTAAAAGGCATCAGTTTAAAAATGGGGAATGTACTACTCAATAGGATCTTCCTGTTCTAAAATCACAAGGCAAGTAACAAGCTAAAAATGAAGTCTCATGGATTCTATCAACTGACTAGCTCACAAGCATGTGTGCAGTTTCTGGTACTTAAAGCACTAAACTTATGTTGCTGCTCTTCATATAGTCCCCTCTGTTGTCCCATTTTCTTATGCACCAAAATAGTGGTGGCAAATCAAGTATGCAAATGGAGTCCTTACAACTGGAGTTTTACGTTGTCTTGCCATTCTTTTGATCACAAATTATATTTTTTTATTGTGTAATTGTTATTAAAGACTTCATTCTTCACTTGTTCTTAAAAAAAAGGCTATAAGGGAAAAGAATGCAGTAATTGCTGTACGTGTCTCATCATTCCAGTTTCTGAAAACAGCCAGCTTTTTTTTCCCCCTTCCTTTTAAGATTCTCCAAAAGGCTGCAAGGCCAGAACCACAACTGTCGGGTGCCTTCCTTTGGAAATATTTGCCCTCTCTTCTGTGAAGAGAATGGTACTTAGGACTCTACTACTAGTGCTTTGTCAGTACCGGTCTGAATGCCCACTCTGATGGCGTACATTATCCTTAAGGTTTTTAATCCCACCTGGAAATTGTGATAGAACTCTCACAAAATAAACCCAGGGCATTACATGTTGACAGAGAAGTGTGTGGTGTGTGTTATACTAATTTCATTTTATGAATTTATTTATTCTGAGAGAATGTGACCCAAAACAGCTGAGCATGCTTGTTTTTAAATTAAAATATTTTTAAAGTAATGCAATAAATGAATTAATGGGGCTCACTGATCAGTGGCTTCCATCACCTAGACACTGTTGAGAGTTGTTGAACAAAAGAAAATGGGACAAAGGACTGGTATGGTTGGGGTCCTAATACTTAACTTAGAAGTTGACTGAAGCATTGGGTGAATCATGCCTGGTACAAGAAGCCAGACCATGAACAGATGACTATATGTGCCTTTACAAACATTTCCAGAATCTTTCAAAGTTGTTTACAAAAACAGATTAAAGTAAAGTTACAGATCATTCCAGATAGAAAGAAGATAGACTACATCTCAGATGGACTGTGGTTACCACAAAAAAAGTAAGGTTTCATTGTGCAATTACTGAGATCACAGCCCAAAATAATGTAAGTCTCTGAGAATGAATTCAGTTGTCTGTAGCTTTCCAGGCAGAATACATAGTAACCCTTTACATTATTAACTTTGGAGAGTTGCTCTTATCCACCTAGTAATTATAATTGAGAATATAGAGGTAAGTTACATATTGGGAAAGTCTGGAGGAGCAGTTTTTCACAGGGTTGGAGGGATTCTAACTCCAGCATTTTTTAAATACAGCATATCCTCATCATCTGACTAAAATTAATGAATTTATACTGGCATCTGAAACAACATGCTTCAATATGTAGTGGCTGCTCTGTGTTTTTCACTAAAAGTGCTAATGAGCCAGAATGTGTAAATGTGGCATTTTGATCTCTTTCCCTTATCAACTGCAGAAAAGAAACCCAGAGAAAACAAACCAATGGGACAGTTAGTTTTTATCATTCTTCAGCATCTGGAAGGAGACACTTAATAGTTTGAATTTCATTCACACAGTCACCTGAAGATTAAAACATCTTCACCTAAATGGTGAATATTGTTAGATGCCAAATCTGAGAAACTACAGAATTACCTTTTTCTGTGGCCTCAAGTTATTTGTGGTTTGTTTCCATTTAATAAATGGATGTGCCTTTTGCACAGCATGTATTTTTGCCCCCAATACAATGCAAATCTGCAAGATGCCACATTCTTAGCGTATCTGCAAAACAAAGTTGCAATTTCTTTAAAGTAATTATGATCTATCTTACCTAGTTAATGTGGTGTAAAACTATAGCATCATTAACAGTCAAGCAGCTGAAAACAACCCTGGTGCTTAGCATATTGCAAGGCTAATTCAACTACTTGGGTTCTGACTTGAGAAAACAGTATTATGTGCCAAAGTGGCTACTTGAAGCAAATGGACTTGAAAAACTTAAAAGTTTGGTTTTGGCATCACACTTCTGGGTGCATGGCTCATTAAGAGTTGGCTAGAGCTTTCCTAGCTGATAAGATTTGCTGAATCTTCTCTGTGGTTCTTTATGCAAGTAAAATTCCCAGTTTCCAAAAACTGGAAATACCATGGTAGCGTTTAACACTAGGCTAAGCAACACAAGCGTGCTGCAGTGAAAAACTGAAAAATGCAAGTAATAAAAATCCTTGCTTTGTTCCTCCACCCAAGGAAGAGGATACCTTTTGTATGTGCCCATAATTTACATAATCATGGTTTATTCAGTGCTGCTTTTTGGCTATGTACAACATACTGAATCATAAAAGTTGCTTGTCTTGGTAGGTAAAAATGGCTAGGTTGTGGTTCAAACATGTTACATAAACCCAGTGGTATGAATGTCTGTTTTCCTAATAGGCATACACTGGCAGAATGTATGCAGGAGTTAATTATATTAAGACTTCTGCATTTTAGACATTACTAATAAAGAGATACATCAGATTTGTCTCCTCTTTGCTCTGTCCCAGCTAGCTCTTTGAACTCTGCAGAAAATTAACTTTTCTACATTTAAAATGTACCTCAAATTTCAATGTACAAAGGAGACATCAGCTTTCAGAAGTTTTGAAAGTACAGTCTTAATGCGTTCTGTTCTAAGGCAGTTAATTGTTTTTTTATAACAAAATCAAGACTTTTGACTGTAAGTTATTAAAAAATTAATGTCTACTTCCTTGAATACTTCCATCCTACAGAAAATAGATGTTTTAATTTTTTTTAAAAAAATGCATAAATGGAAAACAAATGTTCCCTGATCATTACCCAGAAATTAAATTGGTTAACATGTCACCAAGTCTCTGTTCACTGGGAGAGTGGTTGGGCTCACAGATCCTGATTTGCTGATAGATATGGGTTCCTGATACCAAATTTAACAATAGCCAGAAATGGAAAAAACTTCTCTACTTCAGATTAGGTCCTTGAAGAATTCTTGGGTACAGAGAGCTTAATTCTGGTGCTAAACAAATTCCTGTTCCGAATATGTACTGCCTCTTAACCCTGAGGGCTGGGTTCACATAGTGCGCTGAGCCATAACAGGATTTGTTTTATTTGGGGTTAGCATATTGTGTGAGCCCAGCCTAAGTTGTTTCTCTGGCCCCATTTGGGTCCATTTAGTAGATCTTGGGATTATTAGCAAAAAGAGTAAAAATTAGAACCTCTGAACCAGAAGTCTGCTGTGCTGGCTTAACAATGCAGGAAACATACCATCTGAAATGTAGAAAAATTAGATTTTGGAAAAGATAATTCCACAGGTTCTCAATTCCTTAGTAATCAATGGCAATAGTACAACTAATGAGTGTGAAATCGCTATCTGGAAATGGATTTGCTGATGGTGCGGTGAGGCAGTGAACTTTCAGATCAGGACACGTAAACACAGAAAGCAGCCTTAGAGTAGGTTAGGGTTTCTCTAATTGGCAATGATAATCAGGGTCTTTGCATTGTTTTTCCCAGGACTTGCTATCTGCATTTTTCCCTTTTTAACTAGAAATCCCTGAAACTCAAATCCTCTGAATTCAAAATAGCTACTGAGCTTGACAATGTTCTAAGTTTATAGCATAAATAATGGTCATTACATTGAACCATTCATTGCTTATACCTTGGGTGAGAGTTAACCCAATGACACTAGAGAAACTAGGCTTTTCTGGGTTTGCATAACTTGCTGAACTATAAATTAGTCACAAGGCTGAGTTTACACCACATTTTAATCCATCCAGAAAATCTGTAGTCAAGGTTGAAATTAAACAATGTGTAATCTGACCACATGTTTAATTATTGTGATAAGCAGCCAGTCATTTCCAGCTTGAAGATACTGTTTCAAACAGGAAAATGTAAAGAACTGCCTAAGTAAACTAAGGCTAGCATAACTGGGCTGTAAAAATCCAGATGACTATTGGATGACAGCAAAGAGATAAAATTACATTAATGTGTGGATTTTTGCAGCCCAGGTATACTAGCACTGGCTAAGCCCTAAATCCACCTTGCCTTCTTTCCCAAACTTTTTCTCAGATATTCTTCCTAACTGGCCTCTTTGCATGTACAAAACACCACATTGGTAGTATGTGTGAGCACATCCACTATGATTTAACACTGCCCACCTTGTAGAAAAAAGAAAACACGAATGACAAAAATGTCTCCAGCCATTCTCCAGACCTTCAGATGACTTGTGGAGAAGGACTTAGAATTAAAATAGGCATGACTGGAAGGGCTCCAACCCTAGTGAAACAGCACTAGATGGCATAACAACTGCAGCAGGATGTTGTCTCCCTCCTCTTACAAGCTCTCTGGTTCATTCCCTGACTTGCTTGCTCAATTCAATGGTCAGAAAACATTGACAGACGTTTTATGTACTTTTAAGTAGCATTCCAACTTTGCTTGCAAAGTTAAGCCTATAGGAGAGATTGTCCAGGACATTAAAAAAAAAGTAACCAAGGAAAAATCCATTAAAATACTACCATTAAAATATTAAAGTCAGCAGTTTGGGCTAATTGGTCTAATGCAAACTCTTGGCAGCACATACTGACTGGAAAATAAGTTCCATTAGAAGAAGAGATAGAAGAACAGCTGGAAGAAAAACAAAGCTTATTGGTTGCACTTTCTTGTTTGCCACTGGATTTATTACCCCAGTTAAAAGAATATACAATATAAGCGATTCTGCAACCAGGACCAGTCCTAGGCATCATGGGGCCCTAAAAGAAGATGTCTTAGTAGGTCCTCCTTGTCTTTCTGCCAATGGCCATTCATTGGACTGGTTCATAAATAGCATGGAAGTTTGGTTCATTTAACTATGGTTTATTGAATAAACCATTATTCAAGCAAACCACATTATGGCTTAATGAGTGCAATGTGTGAACCCAACCAAATTTGGATTTAATCTGTGGTAGTTAGTATGCTCTGGCAGGTCAAGTTAAGTGGGGTCAATTCAGCATAAATGAACCTTTTTCTAAACTGATATTCACCAAATAGTCGTCATTCTCATTCATTCTTGGGTCATGACCATTTTTCTTTCTTTCATTTCACTTATTAATTGATGCCGTTTTACCATTTACTTCTCTTACATTCCAAATTGCAATCTTCCATATGCTGTAGTCCTCACTGGATGGGCCCACAGATAATTATCTCTACCACACACCAGTGGACAATCAAGGCTTTCCTAGAAGGCTCTTTAGTAAGACATAAAAGGCGTAGACAAAGTTACCAGCCATATGGAGCATTCCATATGCATAACAACGCCATATGGAGCATTCCATCGTAATGATAAGTATAGCACAGATTGGTTTTGATACATTTTCTCCAGCATGTCACAAGTGCAACCAAAACCCAGTTTTATCCCAAGCATGCTCAAGCTGTTCTATGCAAGCGAGGATCTCTAATCTAGGAACTACCTTGCAAGCCAATATACCGTTGCTCACATCTTATCAAGTAAAAAATATATGCAGCATATTGATACACACTGGATGCATTAAAATAAAATGAAATAATTTTACATATTATATTTGTAATACCATTACTGTAAACAATTGTATAAAATAATTCAACAGCTGAAATATCAGAGCTTTTCCCGTATCA